CGGCCAAGCGTAGTTGTATCTGAGTAGTCTGTGATAAACTTAAATTTGTAAATATATGTATTTGTATATTTTAGTTATTCTTAAACATTATTCCAATAGTATTTTATTATATTTATTAAGCTTTCTATTTATAAGTTTAGTAGTGCTCGGTCTCATACCAATCGCTCGTAATGAGTAGTGCTCGGTCTTATACCAAGCGCTCGTATTCGTTTCTTGTATGATCTATCTTGATGAAAATAGCGTTCGTCCAACTTCAATAGAATTTTCTCTACCGTGTTCAGTCATTGACTGACATTCGGTTTCTAAATGTGAATTCTTCTAAGTATTTTCCTCTGAAGGTCTTAAAGTGTATACAACCATTTGGTTCCGGCTTAAAACCTTAGTATTAGGCATGATTCTTTAGGTGTTCGGTTAGAACTCTCAAGAGTCAGTTCATTTAATTGGCTCACTTTGTAAGTAACGTTCGTTCTAGTCGTTCCAGTGATATATGATTATGCTCGGTTTCTTTCTCAAACCAATAGTGATATCTCGGTCTTATCCTATTCTATAACTCGAGACTTCACTATCTCGTTCCCTGCGTTCGTCCTAATTCTGAGTGAGGATTGAACGTTCGGTATTAAGTGTCTTTAAAATCTTTGAACAAAGATGACATTAAGATGATGGATAATGAAAGATGAAGAGAATATGATATGAATGAAATGTATGGATTATGAACGAGCGTTCCGGGGAGGAACGACTCATGAATGAATATTGAAATTTGTAAAGTATGAATGTGGTTATGCTAAGCTAGCGGTTTATCCTGATGCTCCGTGAGTACTCGTCCTCACGTAGAGGGGGTAGGTCATGTGTGGGAACGACAGGAGGTCCTAGTCCTTAGGGTCACTTTGGACAGATAGGACTAACCTCGGGTGGCAGCTGTTGAGGGTATCCCAGTTACTACATCACCCGGGTGCACGAATGTCGTAGCTACACAGATTTCATACAGTCCGGACAGTCAGTCTAGTATTAGGCTTTGTATGAAACGTATGACGAAATTTATCTTGTGTCTTGATGGCATGAATTGTATGATTATATCTGAATTAAATTACATAAGCTTACCATGTGTTCCTGTCTTGTCGTGTTTTGTACGTTCGTCTTGTCATTGCAATGATCATCCGTGTGGATGTGAGCAGAAGGAGACGAAAAGTTGAAAGATGAGCTAAAAGAAAAGAACCTAGTCGAGGTAGAAGTGAAGACCGAAGAGTAGGACGTTCGGTCAGTAGTCTAGTTATTGTAAGGTGGTCGTTCGATCACCTTTCCTTTTTGTTATGTATGATTGTTCGGTATTTTATTTTGTAAACCGTTCGGCCAGATTTGCTTATCCTATATAGTTTATGGTAATTCTTTTTGTAAGGTCGTTCGGTCGTAAGCGTACGTTCGACTTTTAGTGTAAAGACTGATCTAAATTATTAATTAATGTGATTATTCTATTATATAGTTTTGGACTGTATTTTTGGGATGTTACACTTAAAATGTTCAAATATACATTCAACTTCATGCTAAAACCACTCTTTAACTATATTTATTATGATGAAAAACTATAAAATTGGACAAAGAAAAAACGACTTATTTTACCTTCAATTACAAAAAAAAAAATAAACAAATGGAATATATTCGGAAAAAGTTATTCTTTACTTAATAAATTATGAGATAATTTCTCTTTATATATAAAATATATTTAAAAGATAAAAGTATTTTTTCATAGTATCACTACCATTATCTTAAGGTTTTTTGTGGACTAAATAAACCATATAAAAGGTAAGTCACGTATCATGTGTCGCATTTAATATACTAAAATAGGATAAACAAAAGTGAATAGGCAATGGAAGATAATTTTTAAATAATAAAAATCTATGACAATGTGTTGTGAGTAAAATGAAAGTAACGCGATATTTTTCTTATTAAAAAATCGAGTTATAAATTGATTTTGAGCGTGAACATATCACTACTGGTAATGCTTCAAAATAAATTATTTTAAATTTCAAAATAAATTTGATAATATATTTTCTTAAGATACTAACTTAATATCACTATATAAATACTTATCTTAATTGATTATTTATATGTTGACGAGTTCTTAAAAAGGCTTATAATAAACAACTATACTTTTCCTAATTGTAAATTGGGTTAATGTCTAGTGATATCTAGATTAATTAACTATTATTGAACCTAATCGGTTAATTTGTTATCAAATCTAAAGTACAAGTTTTGATTAATAGTAGTTGAGTATACACTAAAACCAATCGATTAATTTGTTATAAAATCATTTTGTTTTCACTTTTTGAGAGAGTTTAAAACTTTATACATACATGAGATATATATATATATATATATATATATATATGATTTGTTTTTGTAGAAATCCTTAATTGAAATTTGAAGACATCATTAGAAAAAAACTTAGATACATGTGAATAAAACTTTGTTGTTAACTATAAACAAAACGAATATAGGCAAAAGAAAACACTTTTCTTTAAATATAAAATATCTAAAAGGTACGACTATTATTTCATAGTATACAGTTGTCTTAAGTTTTTTGTGTACTAGAATAAATCATTCGAAAAACTAAGTTAAACATTACGTGTTATATTATAGGACGTGTTATATTTTGATCTGTTATGGATTGATAATTTAGTTAGCCATTACTACGAATTACTTATGTGATCGAACGACTAAAACTAATAGATCAAACGATAAATTTATGAAAAAATTACTTATAATATTAATCAATTTAAGATAAAGTATGATTAATATTAATTAGACCATAATTAAATAGTCGTTAATCAAAAATTCATTCCAAAATTTATAAATATATGTTTAAGTTAAAGAAGTAGGTAATGACATTTAATATGCATTAATTGATATCTGATTGTAACCAGAATACACATCCAAGAAGATAAGGACTTGATGATCCGAGGCACCGTCTACCAATTCATTAATGCCTAGGAGAGGGTAAGCATCCGTAGGAAAGGCCTTGTACAAATTTGTGAAGTCCGTACACATCCTCTATTGATCATTCACCTTTTTTATCATCACTATGTTCGTCAACCAAGTGGTATAGTGACCTCTCGAATGAAATCTTCTTCTTATAGCTTCCTAACATCGGCTTCTACGACCTTTCTCTTCTGCTCACCCAATCGTCTCTTCTTCTACACCACTAAACGTGTTTCCTTGAATAGAGACAGCTTATGGGATATCATGCCAACATGAAAGCTTGACATATTCGTTGTGGTCCAGACAAACAATTATTGTTTGCTTTCAACACCTTCGCTAGAGTCTGCTTGTTATCCTTGTTCAGGCCACTGCCAACATTTGTATCATAATAGGTTGGCTCTACCTCAGACTTCACCACAAGCTTCATAACAAGCTTTACCACAAGCTTCACAACAAGCTTTACCATAAGCTTCACCACATACTCTACTATAAACTCTATTAATTAGCTAAACAGGCATTAGCCTCATCTTGTAGACTAACTACCTTAGGATAATAATGTTGTTGTATTTTTGCAGTAGTAGATTTCTCCTCACCAAAAATAGTAACATCATGATGTAACTGTCTACAATTAGATAGGTCATGACCAATCATTCTATAATTTTGAACAAAATAGAGACAATTTCTCATAATCCACATAACCAATAAACCTAAATCATGGCTTTTCCACTAAAATTTGATTAGGCAAATTGGATGAAAAATCAATATCAACCAAGACACATACAAAAGAACTTCGAGACTTATTTTTGGTATAATCATCTAAAGATATGTATCGATTTCAAATGTTATTGAGAAAATCACTTTCGAGTGCCAATATTTTATATAAGGATCATGAACTCGAAACTAATATTGAGTTTTTATGAGTTTCATGCAAGTTTGGACAAAATATTTAGTCTAAGAAAAATATCACTTAATATAATTAAAAATCACTCAACAATCCTACACCAAAGAATGTACTTGACATGAGAAAAAGTCCTAAAATTTCACATTTTTTAATATATATTTATTATATTTTTCTTTTTAGAAATTAAAACTCTAAATATTAATAAAATATTTCATAGTCAACTTAAAAAAATTATAATAGATTATGATATATTAATACACACCGTTACAAAGATAAATTATAAATATTTATAAATTTTAATAGTTATATTATAAATATTTCATTAACTTTTATTAATAAATACTTATGTTGTAATAAAATAAAATAAAGTAATTTAATTCATGTTATATTAATATATGTTATATATTACAATATTTTGTAAATTAATTAATTTGAGTATATTTTTACCTTGAAATATAAATTTTTTATCCATTAAAATTTTCAACAATTTTTATTCTAAGTTAAATTTTTTATTTCTAATTTATATTACTAAAATTTATTTTTATTTCAAATATTTTTTATAATTTTATTTTATAAATTACTTTTTTTAATTTCAAAAAGAAATATTCAAATTTTTTTTTCATTTCTCTCTCTTTACTTAAATAAAAAAATCGTCACTTTTCCTTATTTTCTTCCATTTCCACTCCATGAAATCTGCTCTTTAATTCAAACACAAATTAGAAGTTAAAATCTAATTAATATGTATTAAATGAATTATTATAAATATCATTTAATTTTTTTATCTTTATCTTTTGAGGGGATTTGAGGAGATTTGAGAATATTTGAAGATAAATTTTGTTGTCGTTTATTTGAGTGGATTTGAAAGTAAATAAAAGTGAATTTGAAAATAAATTTTTTTAATTTATTACGCCAATACAATTCTATATTAATTCTCACATTTATCTTCAAATTTATTTAAATAAATAATAAAAAAATTTATCTTTAAATCCAAAAAAAAATGGCATACGGTGTATTAAAATAAATACTTATTAAATGGATGATTAATATGTGAGAATGGTTGAATTGAAGAAGGTGAAGGCTTTGGATTTGAGTAAAATTCGTCAACCCTATCTATTTAAGAAGGCCAAATTAGAGTCAGAAGTACGCATCAGAATCTGACAGTATCACAGCAAGAAGAGAAGAGATGGAAGGCGTAGAACACAGAACGGTGGAAGTGAATGGCATAAAAATGCATGTAGCAGAGAAAGGAGAGGGTCCTGTGGTCTTGTTCCTCCATGGCTTCCCCGAGCTCTGGTACTCCTGGCGCCACCAGATTCTCGCTCTCAGCTCCCGAGGCTACCGCGCCGTTGCCCCTGATCTACGGGGCTACGGTGACACTGAGGCACCAGCTTCAATCAGCAGCTACACCATCATGCACCTCGTGGGTGACATCGTGGCACTCATAGACTCACTTGGTGTGGATCAAGTCTTCCTCGTTGCCCATGATTGGGGAGCTATCGTAGGATGGTACGTATGTTTGTTTCGACCAGATAGAATCAAGGCCTACGTTTGCCTCAGCGTCCCTTTCATGCCCAGAAACCCAAAAGTCAGGCCCGTTGATGCTATGCGGGCCCTCTATGGGGATGACTACTACATCTGCAGATTCCAGGTGCTTCCTCTGCCTTCTTCATTTTTCCTCTTATGTTTCTTTTTCCTATTTATGGCTTTTTCTCTTTTTAAATCCACCGTTCTGCTGCGCTCATCTACTTCTACCCATCTCAATTTGAGATTCAAATTGAACCAATTTTCTTCCTTCTCTGAAATTCCAATTATTATAAATAATATCCAAGTGAGTGATACTTCATTATCACCCTCGATTAGATTGTATATGTGAAATTGAATTTTATGCAATCTTTAGGGGATTTTACTTAAACAATTTGCTTAGTATTAGCTTCAACATCCGATTTGTTGTTTGTCTGTATTTGTTTTCCAGGGTTCCAAAATGCAGATAGCCTCTCCCCTTTAATTCAGACAATAGAAAACAGACAGAGCAAAAAAGAAAAAAATGGGATGGGTTTAATCAAAATGTTTGAAGTTGGTTAGAGTTTAAAAATAGCATGTATAGATTAAGGCAATCTTTACCATATGAAGCAGTTCTGTAGACTATGACATTGAAAGAACAGTGATCTGATATTATGGTGGTTGTTATGATACTTTTGTTGTACCTAATTGTTGTGGCAGGAGCCAGGCAAAGCGGAAGCTCTGTATGGCGGTAATAACATTGGAGAAGTAATAAAGGGTATGCTTACAAGTCGGAGATCTGGACCACCAATCCTCCCCAAAGAAGGGGTTGCCCTTCCTTCAGGGTCCCTTCCCTCAAGATCCCTTCCATCTTGGCTCTCAGAGGAAGATGTCAGTTATTATGCTTCTAAATTTTCAAAAACAGGCCTAACTGGGGGCCTCAACTACTACAGAAATCTCAACCTGTAAGTTCCTAATGTTGCAGGTTCCTATTTCTAACATATGTGGATGAACGTTCCAAAGTGGAAGCTACGTTGTCCATTGATAACAATGAATTTGTGGCTTTTATTGGTTCAAACCTTATTCTATCCTTGTGTGTCATGTTTACAGCAATTGGGAGCTCACAGCAGCATGGACTGGAACAAAAGTGAAAGTTCCAGTGAAGTTCATTACTGGTGAATTGGATGTAGTATACACCTCACTAGGGACGAAAGACTACATAGACAGTGGTGCTTTCAAGCGAGATGTGCCATACTTGGAGGAAGTGGTTGTGCAGGAAGGGGTTGCTCACTTCAACAACCAAGAAGCTGCAGAGGATATCAGCAATCACATTTATGATTTTATCAACAAGTTCTGATGTTTTCAGCTTTGCTAATGAACTTTGAGTTAGTTCAGTTAAATAATTTGGTCACTGTTGATCTATGTTACTGGCTGGTTTTATAATCATATGATTGTGCCGTTACAAAAGCATGTTTCCGTTAGAATAATATATGTAGTTTGCTGCTACATAAAGTGTAATCCTTCTATTCCCGAAGCTTAGTGGAAGGTTGGCTCTGTTCTTTTGCATAAATTATTGTTGTAGCGACTGCGACTGGTTTTAGTTATCGTGTTGACAATTATTGAGCACTGTTTTATCGACAATGAATGAGCACAATTTTTCCCGACTATAAATTTTAACTTCAATCATATATAATAAAGAAATTTATTTATTTATTTTTATTTATTAAAATGTATAAACAAAAGAGTCAATGTCATTTATTTTTTAGTCAGTGGTTCTAATCTATAAACAAAAGAGTCAATGTCATTTTTTCCCTTTCATTAATATTAATCTCGTTAGAGAATAATGATTTAAGAAAATAACTTTGTTTTTCGAGAAAAAAATGTTTATATGAAGTTGTCAACACCTAATTATTCACCTAACAAAATAAATCATAATAACTCTTTCTAATAAATATTAACTTAAATGTTCGGATGGTCCCACTTTCAAAGTAACATGTCTACTTTTCGTTTTTTTAAAATGTGCATCAATCAAGTTTATTTCATTAAGTTTTCAGTAACAGTGTTAAATGTGTAATTAAGTTCCAGTAAAAGTGTTAAATGTGTGGTAATATGGCAAAACAGAGTGTGGTGATGTGGTAAAACGCATTTGCAACATATAATCCATAATGGTTTTCTAATGTGGAAATTTGAGATTAGGGTTTAGAAAAATATTATCAATTTTGGAAGCAGTTTGGGTCGGCATCGGGCGAAGTAGGAGTCTTCAGAGTTTTTAACCAGTGATCCCAAATATCGCATGCACCTCTAACATAAGGTTATCCTGTTTACGCCTAACTAGATTGAGATATTGCATTTTCGTTGAACATGGTGAATCTTTATGATGTTGTTTTTTTAATATTGTGATGATGTAAAAGGCGATCTAAGACACCTTTTGTAATAATAGCACGATGTCCGTATCCTTTCTTCCCCTTCCCTTTTTTGGGCGAAGATAATGAAAACCCTAACCCCAGTTTCAAATTATGTCTGGACGATTGCGTCTAGGTTTGGTGGGATTTAGAGAAGTAAGCATTGGATTGCATTGAGGTAGATTAATGGGTTTGGTTTAACTTGGACAGGGACTTTGACGCCCCTCAACTTTTTTTTAATGCACATATAGTAAATGAATTCTTGGATTTTACATTGGCACAACGAAGGAAGATTTTGATTGTCTTGAATGAAAAATTGTCTTGAAATATTTGAACTTAATGCTTGTTCACTCTACCAATTGAACTTAACTACTTTGGGTGTCCATGTGTACATCAATAGATTGATTACATTTCAATGTAGAATATAGCTTTGATCAATATTATTGTTATTAAGATATATTTTTTCTTGTGGAAAAAATGTGGAGAGAATGAGATGTTACGAGGAATTGATAAAATGTGTAAGCAAAATGGAAGAACAAATGCAGAGAAAGGGCGTGCAGAGATAAAGAAGATGATGATTCAAATTTGATGTTACTGTGTTACCTTTTTTCTTCTTTTTATTTACTATATTTTTATATTTTGCAAACTTGTTTTGTCACATCACCACACTGTTTTGTCACGTCACTACGTAATTAACATTGTCATTGAAAAATTAATAGATTGATATACATTACTACTACTAGAATCAATGGTACTACTATTTTAGTACTACTTGAATAATTAAAACTAAATATTATACATCATATTGAATAGAAAAAGAATTAAAAATAAAATATTAAACAATTGTTAGTGAGGATAGAATGGTTAAGAAGAAGAGAATATTTTAAAAATTTAAAATCAAAAGAAAAATTTATTTGTTGCTTTATTTATCTTTTCTTAGTACCTTTATTGTGCACAGAGTATTTAATACGAGGTTATCGTCAAATAACAACTAATAACTACCATAGTTAATGTATGACAGAGCAACATAAATGAATCTACCTTTGACTCTTACATTACTGAAGACTTTCTTATTAAAATAATATCATTTTTCTTATGTGATAATATAACAAATAAACTTCTATACACTGATATGGATGTATAATGAGAATTTGACATAACGTTAATAGGATGTATTTAAATTAATAGTTTAAGATTAATATATGATATTTCAAATATTTATAATTTAAAATTAATATATATATATATATATATGAGTTCTTTCTTCTAAAATAAGAACTTATACTGTTCAACTTATTGATTCTATATTACCATCCATTATAATTATTGCATCCTGATATAATATATTGTATGTTGAGTTGGATTTCCTATAGTTTATTATTTTATCATTAGAATAAAGTAATATTTTTTATTCCAAGAGATAAGGTGAGTTAAGTTCGACGAGAAGTTATTTTTTTATTCTTTTCTTCTCCTTTTACTGTATTGATGTTGTCGTGTAAATTCAAATTATATTAACAATTAAAATTTGAAAGTTAATACTTTATACATGTAAATTCAAATTATAATAATAGTTACAATATGAAAATGATTTTTATACTATTTAAGGAAAAATATTTAAATCATACTATTAATTTAGAATTAAGAATTTTAAAAATAGCTATAGATGAAATAAAATTTTGAATAATTTTAATAATATTAATTTATAAGATAATACATAATATTTTTTATTTAAAATTTAATGTTATTTATATGTATTTATAATTATTGTAACACATAATTTAATATATATTATTTAATGGAATATTAAAATTAAATACTAACTATTTAAACAATTTTCTAGATATTAATTTTTATTTTAAAATATTATATTTGCAAAGTAAAAAATAGTTATATAAATGATTTTTTTATAATTTTCGTAATTTATAAAATAATTAAATTAAAAGTTAATTTTAAATAAGTTATATTGTTTAATACAGAGATAGCATTTAAACATAATTTATACTATAAGTTTGCTAATTTACATGAATCATTATATTATTATATTTATATCCTATTATATCATATTTTATTAGCGTTATGTCTTATGTTTAATTATTACTCTTACAACTGCGAGTTTATAAAAACCACTTAAAAATAAAAGTTGAAGATTGTGATTACCGCAATGAATCCAATGACAAAATGTTGGGGGAAAACAAGGGTGATGTATCATTAATTTTAAAAAATGAATGTTTGTAAGTCTTGTTATCATTACTAGTAGAAAGGTAAACAGAACAAGATACCAAAATAAATAAAAAAACTTAGAATAGCTAAAAAAAATGATAATGTTACTTTTGACAACATTTTTTTAACAACATTTTTACATCATCTACTTGTCATTTTTTAATTGATCCAAAATTATTCCACAGTCAATAATTATCATTATAAACACTAACATGGACCAATCACAGAATGACATGTAGATAGTGTTAAAATGTTGTCAAAAAAATATTGTCAAAGTATCATTATTCAAAGAAAATATTAATCTCAAGTCCCACAAAACCAATATAAACAACATAAAAAAAACACAACAAAAACTCAAATAAATGATTTATGTATAAGATATACTATATATGATTGAAAACTCTTTGGGTTCATTAATTATAATCTAAAAGTAATGATATGGATACCTTGTGTTCGATAAAGGATATAGGCCAATTATTGAATATTTTGTAAACATTAAACTGTTTAACTGAGGTTTGCACTTCCAAATAAATAAGCACAATACGTTATACAGTGAATATTGTTGCTCGAACATCGAGTACCGTGTCGCCTAACCAAAGACTATGTGTTATTTGCTAATGAATGCATTCCTTCCTAAAGTAGGATGCCTCCTACTTGAACTTATCTTTGTTTGTCGAAAACATTAATATATCACGCAATTTAATCAAAACAGACATCATATCGCCACAAGCAAAATATCATTAGGCCAATGGATTCATAATCGAGACTCGTCTGGGTAAAAATCCATAACTAGTAAAATACTCCTATAAGTATTACTTTATCAGAGTTTTAATTTCACTTTTTACATTAATCATACTTTAATTAGAAACTCAATTAAAGTAATAACTTGTGTGGAAGAATGTTTTTGTAGGCATCTCACATCTTCATTCTATAAAGGACGAGTATAAAAAGACAAAAAAGATTCGAAGGATGGAACAAAACTTTTTCCAAGATACCTTCTACTCTATAAATACACAAGAGTATGCTTGAATATACAATTATAATAAAGTATTTGAGATTTTAAGAGTTGAACTATTAAAATTTTCGTCATTTTGAATCGAAAAATTCTCAAAATATTCAGCTACCCTACTGATCTCAATAAGATATTCTATTAGCTTGGATGTGATAGCATGCACATGCCAATCCAAATCCAAACAGGGTTTGTATTCCTTCCACCGAACATTTGGAGAAAACTTGAAAATGGGCATAGTTCAAAACAAACTTATCTTTACACATTGTTTTACAGAGGAAAGTCCAGCCAAGCTACCTAAATATTTAAAATTAGTGTTCAACGTATCCCATAAACCTATTAAAAAAATGGCCCGTGATAAAGTCTTCAGCGTTTAAGCTTTTGTTTGGATGAGTTTTGTTGTACACTGTGGAATATTAATTTTTCTATGGTGTTTTAATTTACTTGCATTTCTGATACTAATTTTATTTCTTATAGTTGAACATGTAAGAGATTGTGAAATTATAAATGCGATGAATAATTATAAATAATATGATATTTGAATTTAAACAGTTGAAATCGTCATATTATAAAGCCATTTCAAAGTGTGACAACTTACATTTTATATTGTTTTCCAATAAAAAGTAATGATATTTTGACACAAACATTCACAGTATAGTTTGAAAGTAAAATAGTCTTACTTTGTAATTGTAAAAGAAAAGAAAAAGTAAAAAATAATGAAGAATAATATTAAATGAGTAAAAAATTTGTTTGTGCAAAAGTATGATTATTCTTTTCGCAAAATCATCGTCTGTATGAATAACGTGTCACAGCAGGCAGCATTAATCTAAAGAAGTTGAAGAGGCTCGCGTCAACTAATTGAATCGTTTGTCAGTAATGAAATATTATTATAAACTCATCAAATATTTAGAAACCAAATCATTGTAGCTAGCAAAG